CCGGTGCTTGATCCACTCACTCAGTGTCTCGATGGGTGAGCCGTTCACGCACCACTCGGTCACGCCGAACTGCCGTAGGTGAGCCCGTGCGTGACTGGCCAGGGCCTTGCGGTTTTCGAAGTAAAGGCCACACAGCTCGCAGCAGGCCTCAGTGGCTGCAGGCAGAGGGGGTGCTGCTGAGCCCCAGCCCGTAGGGAGCAAAGGTACCCAGAAGGCGCTGCCCAGGTCGGGAGCCGGTCCCGCCTCCCACTGGGGCCTTGACCCCTGCTGGGGGTTAAGTGTGTGCACGGCATTGCCCAGTCCTACAGGCCCTGGCAGATGCCCTCCCGGGACCCTGCCACCCGCTGCTTACAGGAGTGGGAGGTCTTCTCATGGAGGGTCTTTGCCTTGAAGGGCAGTTCAGTCTGGATGTAGGTCTTGGCCTTGACCTCTGCTGGGAGGAGGCGGTCCTCCTGCAGGGGCCTCTTGGCTGCCACTGAGCTCAAGTAGCCGGTGGCTGAAGGCTTGGCACCAGTGATGGGTGCCAGGCTGAGCTCGCGGGGAACCTGGGCTGGCCCAGCTCCTGGTTTGCCCGGCCGGCCAGCCATTGGCGCCAGTGGCAGGGGGGCCTGCATGGGCCCAGGGGCCACCGTGGGGGGCCCATCCTCAGCCAAGGCAGGAGCCAGGTCTCCGGCTGGTGGTTCCTTCTTGATGAGGCATGGCTTGGACTTCTTCTTGAGGATCTCCCGCAGCGTGTCGATGGGTGAGCCGTTGACAGACCACTCGGTCACGCCCATCTGCCGCAGGTGGGAACGGGCATGGCTCGACAAGCCCTTTCGGTTCTCGAAAAACTCGCCACAGAACTCACAGCGGATGTCACGCACTGGCTCTGCCCGGGATGCTGCAGGGGGTCCGGGGAGGGGAGAAGGAGGCGGTGGCTGTGGCAGGAAGCCTCTAAGCTCAAGGTCAGTGTTAAGTGCCCATCTGTCCCATCTACCCAGCCCCAGACCTGAATGACCTGCTCCTTCATCTGCCTCCAGAGGCCCTTGTGTACATCATACAGCCCTTCTGCTTGTTCTGTCACCTCAAATTCTAGCTAGCTTCATGATGACTCACTGTGACATAGTGAAGTATTGAGGAGCAAGGGCTGCCCAGATCCTGGGCTCAGATGTAAGCTTGGCTGTGACCCCGTGTGATGCTGGGCCATTTCCCCTGAGACTCAGTTTCCTCCTCTGCAAAATGGAGATGAAAACCACCTCCCCATGTTACTGGGGTGGAAGTAGGGGTCCCTAAAGTGGGAGCAGTTCAAAGCATGTGATACAGAGAAGACATGATATGCATATAAGCATTGAGGCAGAGGCCTGGACCATCCTCACCTGCTCAGCACACAGCAGCTCAGCCAGCCTGAGCAGGATGAACACAGAAACAGTTCAGGAGGGAAGTGAGTGACGGGGATGTTACAACTACTGCATACACAGAGCTCTGTGTAAGTGTTAGCTAAGTTCAGAAAACTGTGCAGAGCTGGGACTGTGCTGATCTCCATCTTCCAAAAGAGGAAACTGCCCAAGGTCAGTTTCTAGACTGTGGAGCAGCTGAGACCTTAACTCCAACTTAACTCCAAATATTAAGCACTTAGTGACCACGAATATCAGGAAGACACAGTTCAGACACCCATCACCAGCACCTATACTCCTGCCCATGGCAGACATCACCAATTGATCCCTGCAGTCTTTCTCCCTAGGAATCTGGATGGTAGCCACTACCAATCAAAGATGGCACAGACATAGAATTTTTTTGCTGCTGCCAAATGACACAGTTCTGCCCCACAGGAATGAAGAATCATCAAGAAGCAGCTCAGTTGGGGGTCTACGAAGCAGGAATCCACAGCCAGCCCCCTGTCTACTGGACCTGTGTACCTCCCTTCCGTTTCAACCCTGGGGGCTCTGGGTACCCTTGAGGGGAGTTAAGGGTAAGACCCCTGAGACCTCTTCTCCCTGTCCTGCCCCAGGGTTACACTTACACAGGTTCAGGGGGGTCATGTCTTCCCGAGGTGCCACCCAGGGACCCTCGGATGGGTGTGGCTCCCCATGAAGGGCCCCCGGCAGCATCTCCCGTTTGATCTCCACCCGCATTTGTTCAGGCTTCAGCTTCTTGGGCAGGGAGGGTGAGGAGAGGCCTGAGAACATCTTCCGGGCCGTGGGAGGAGGAGAGGCAGTTGGTGAGTGGCCCAGGGGGCTGCCTGGTGGCGGAGGCAACTTCTTGGCCAGGGGTGAGAGGTGAAGGTCCGCGGGACTGCGGGTTTCCAGCGAGCTGCCAGGACCTCCGCTGCCCACCACCTTGGCCAGGGCTTTGGGACTAGGCCCTGACGGGTTTGGGGGTCCGCCAGGCCGGGACTGGGTCCGTCTCTTGAGGATCTCCCGCAGCGTGTCGATGGGCGAGCCATTGACGTACCACTCGGTCACGCCCATCTGCCGCAGGTGAGAGCGTGCATGGCTCGACAGGCCCTTTCGGTTCTCGAAGAACTCGCCACAGAACTCGCAGCGGATGTCACGTGCTGGCTCTGGGCCCGAGGCTGCAGCAGGAGAAAGGGGCAATTAGGACTGTGGGCACCATTAGCACCGTCACCTGCGGGTCTCCTGGACGGCTATGCGTGGCTAGAAGCATGTCCAGGGGCTGGGGTGGTGGCAAGGGGCAGGTGCAAGTGAGGGAACTGAGAAGTGGGGCAGGGGCCAGACACCTGGCAGGAGCAAAGGGAGGATCCAGAGAGCACGTGGGCCCTCGATTCTGGCAGAGGAGGACAGAACCAAGACTCCACAGCTCTGTGGATCCCGACAAGGATGAGGGCAGGAAGTGGCAGCCCTGCCATCCAGACCAGGGGCAACTCTGGGCACCTTCCACACCAAAAGGCAGCACCCCACCCTTGGCCTTCGTTCTCAGGGCAGATCTGTCAAGGAGGTCAAAGGCCAAGAGAGTAGACCTAGCAGCTGACTGCCAACAGATCTCTGGGCAGAACCGGTCCACTGCTAAGGGCCCCTGTCCACTCCCTGCCCCAGCAGGGAGGGATTAGGGAGGGGGCTGCGACCCCCCCCTGGGAGGGGCACCAGGGCCCGCAGGGAGGAGGGGGCGGCTGAAGCGAGAACCTACAGAGGTTGAGAGGAGACGGCTCCACATCAGAGGCCCAGAAAATGCCAGCGGCTGCGGCGGCTGAGAGGTCCTGCTTCCCCCAGGGGCTGGCCATACCCGCGGCCTTCAGCTTGGCCTTCTTGGCCGGCGGTTGTGGGGGGAGCAAGGAGAGGGCCGCAGAGGCGGGAGGAGGCCGCCCCAGCTGGGCCAGCACGCGGCGCCTGGGTGGGAGGCGGGTCTGGACGCCGTCCCTCCTGATGAGCCCGTGGAGCACGTCTATGGGGGATCCCTTGGCGTCCGGGTCGCTGACGCCCAGATGGCGCAGGTGGGCACGGGCGTGGCTGGACAGGCCCTTGCGGGTCTCAAACCAGGCACCGCACAGCTGGCAGTCCAGCTCTCTGCCCCCGTCACTATCTAAAGCTGCGGAGACAAAACACAGGGGGGCGTTCACGGCCACCACCTTGGCCAGCCCTGAGGGACTGAGGCGGGAGAGCCTGGTGTGATTCTCAGCTGCCCAGGCTGGTTGAGGTCCAAGACTTGCGCCACATTTTTATTTTAAGAGGTTTTGGGAAGCAGGAAGCCCTGTACGCTGCATCTTGGCATCAAGGTGAGTGTAGGGAATTTAAAGATGTGGGGTACAGAGGCAGTGGCTAAATTCCAGTGGAACAATCTGATTCTCCCTGGCCCTCTTCCCAGAGATTCCAGCTACAGGAGATGTGCAGGGTGGGTGAGGGGTGCAAAGCAGGGGCCCACTGGCTGCCAAGCATCATACAGCCAAGGGCACACCTGCTCCGGGCCCTGCTCCTGGGAGCACAGCAGTGGAAGCAGCTTCATTGGAATATGAGGTGCAACTGGGGTGCTCTGCTGGGCAGGGGGCCAGACCCTAGGCTCACCCCCAACTCTAATGCCCCAAAAATCTGTGGGAAGGCCTGACTTCCTACGGGATGTCCTAGTTAAATCTGCTCACCATGCCTGGGAGTTTCTTTCCAAACCCTTCTGTACCATTCTCACAGGCAGCCTAGGAGGTATGGCTCCACCCCTGGGCACAGAGGTACCTCTGCACAGGTCGGCCAGGATGTGAAGATGGGGCTAACCATGGGGCCTCCTATCAGGTAGACCACTTCTCTACCTGCAGGATCCAAGATGCCCCACAGGAGCCTTGGTTACCTTCACTGTCCCAACCCGTAGGCCCAGAGAAGGCCAAAAGCTGCTCCTAAGAGGCGAGGATGACCCTGGCAGGCTCAGTAGCCACAGCCAGCCTTCTGGGGGAAGAACAATGAAGTGGAGTGGGAGACAGATGATAATATGCAGCGTGGCCGGCCCAACGGAGATGCAGCACCTTGATCGACACTCTAACCCAGCTGACCCAGGACGCAGGCACTGCGGTCCCCACTGCCCCCACCCTGAGCCCCATAGCCCAAGCTGAATTCAAGCCCCTCCTGGCGCCAGGACCTCCCTCGGCTCCCAGGACCCACACTCACTGAGGTTCAGGGGCCCCTCGTCCTCAGACTGGGGCCACTGTGCCTTTGGGGAGGCCGGCCGGGGGC